TCTCTCTCTCTCTCTCTCTCTCTCTCTCTCTCACACACACACACACACACACACACACATGCACACCCACACGCACACAGAGCCGACCCCAGCAACGCCCAGAGAGACATCCACGTCCGAGAAGAATAATCGCCCCTCCATTCCTTACCGCCCCATATAGTCCGCAGTGCAGTAAAAAGGTTTCACTTTGAGAACAGTGTTTACCCACGAACCGACCCGCCGTTGTGCCAATCAACAGCATAGCGCCGCTGCGAGGTCACAGCTGATATACTCACAAGCACTGACTGAGCCACACACGGCCGTCATCGGCAGGGGAATATAGTTAGTTACTCACGATTCTCCTGCTGACGAGTCCGCTCACGTCGCTTCCCTCAGAGGCACTCAACACCCGCCACCTGTATACAGAGATCTGAGTTCCGAGCGCATACATCCATGCAGGGAGACGAGTACACCTCCCCTGGACTTCAACCGGCCAGGTCATCATCCAGTGCATCTCTCCATCCGCCCAGAAACGTTTCCCTTGATTAACTCATCATTCATTCATCATCAGTCAGGCGACGCCCGTCCTCTCAGTCAATCCAACCAAGCAAAATTGCCTTTCGAAACCACGCCAGCCAACCCCCCACCACTCATACTTCCGCCTACGAAACCCAATCACCCCTCAATTCGACTGGTTTCCCGACACCACCCCGGCTCGAGGGGAGACACGCGTCACGATTCCTCGGCCTTCAGCGCGTCCATGAGGTACACCTTCCCCAGACTCTGACCTGCAAATTGCGTAATCTGCCCGCAGTAATTAGAGATCTGATTGGTGATCAGGAAGCCATCCAATCGACTTGGTTCCGGAATAGGCTTGAAGATGGGGTTGTTAGGGTCCTCCTCGGGAAGGGGTTCCTCACCGGCCGCCTTTCTTGCCGCGTTCTCCGCTCTCCTCCTTTGCAGCCACGCCGACTGCTGCGCTTGCTGCCTCCCCACTGACCTCTGGTAATACTGAATCCGTTGTTGCTCAAGGGACAAGTCCTCCATACACTCGATCAGGAACTCCATGTTCGTTTCAAGGAAGGGACTCGTCGACAACCCGAGCCGATCAAAGTCGCACTGTGTGACGTACGCATCGGTCTCCACGTCAGTCATCAGCGCCGCCACTAACGAGGAGTTGTAGACATCAACCCTAATCTCTTCGAAAATGTTCGTCCAGTTGATCCCCTTCTCCCTCAACTTCTCTCCTGTCAGGTTCTGCGCCCTGTACACCTCCATGAACGACTCCGTTAACTTCAACGCCTTCAACGACAACACGCCTTGACCGGACCGCAGCGGGTCGTAGATGATGCACACGCACCGCTTGATGCTCTCCTGGTAATTAAGGAAGGTCTCGATTAATTCCACCGTCTGGAACGACCCCATGTACGTCGACTGATACCATCCGACCGTGTTGTTGTCCACGTTCACTTCCCTCAGACATCTCATCATGTCCAGCTGATAATTCGCTCCATCGGCGTCCAGGTCTTCATCGTCCTCGCCTCCTCGATTAGGAAAGGGGAAGCAGTTGGTCACCTCCAACGTACTGCCGATGTCCAGGCCCAGAAGTTGGCCCGTCACGAGAGCCGGCATGCACTCCTTACAGTGCTTGATTATCTTCAACGCTACAAGACCATCCACCCTCACGACGCGCAGAGGCATTTCCTGCTCTGCGGCAGCTGCAGCCTGAGCGAAGGAACGCGTGGCAGCTGCCGCCGCCGCCGCGGAAGCCGGGGGATTACCGCCGCTTTCTGCCATAGCCAACGAGGAGAAGAGCAAACACCAGGTGCCGCCCCACGATTGTCTCTTGCCCGCGTGTCGGAGCTAAAGAGACGGCCGTCTATGGCGACCTTCAGGGACTGTTGCCAAGGAAAGAAGAAGAACTTCGCCGGAAATGGCCTGGCCTGAAATGGACATAGGGTTAGCGGCGACCGATGGCGCCGAGATCCGACCCCTCAGAGCCGGCGCCTTCGCTCACAGGAATCCCAGCTTCGCAACGGCGGAGGGAGCAGTTCTTCCAGCGCAGGGGCTGCCTCCGTACGACCGACCACCAGGTGAAGCACGACGCGAGGGACCGAAAAGCAGTCCAGCGGGACGGCAAATCACCCCCCAGCGAAGAGGCTGCCTCCGCGTTAGACACTGCTGTTACTCGATGGGCTGGGGGGCGGTGAATGGGACCCATGAAAGGCGCGAGCGCAAGGGTGCGCAGCCTTGCGGCTAAACGCTGGGGGAACTGTATGAGCCCCAAGAACCCAGTGGAAGACCAAGGTGTTTTTATTGTATCAGCTCCTCTGTAAACTATCCCTATAAGTTGAGATATATGCCAAAATGCCACTAAAAGATGTGGGTAAAGCGGAATACCCTACAGCGTACTGCCCATCTTTGCAAAATGTCCCGGTACTGACATACCGCGAAGTCGCGGGCCCACAGCCCGTCGCGGCCCCAGGAAGCCGGAAGCAGGTGAGGAGACAGGCGTGGATGCCTGTGTGCGGCGGCGTCGTGTTGAGGAAGCGCGGTTCAAGGTAGTCGCAGAGGGTGGAGGGGCGACAGGTCGGAGCTATCGACAGCGAGCCAGAGCAGCGCGAATATGTTAGCTCGCCATGTGAGCCGCTATGTGCGCCTGTGTCTGTGCAACGGCCGGATTTGCGGGATGCTTGCGAGGAGAAGTTTTTTTTTCTGTCTCCAGTTTCCTTCGAACCGTCCAATTTTGGGAATACTTGCGTCGGTGCCCCGTGGTGACGACTATGGGTGAGGGGGCCGCGAAACATTTAGTTTTTGTCATGCTCGTCCTGGTCTTCTGTGTCGAAGAGTGCGGGTGACGGAAGGTGGTCTTTTGCGGGTCAAGAAATTGATGTCAATTGTTTGTAACATGTTGTTCATACATAAAATATGTTGCATTGTAGAAGAAGGGAATGCCAACTTTTCTGTCAGCGAGTGTGATGCGAGTTTTGTCATTGAAGGGCAATAGTATGGTAGTTTTTTTTTCATGTGTTGTAGCATGTTTCTCAGTTGCCAACTGTAGCAAGTGTCCGCGTAATCATCGACGCGGATTTGAGCAAAGTTTTGTGGCATCTAAGAGACGTGTGTCATCATGAGGCCGATGTGTGGATTCATAGAGTCTCTGATTTGTTTGGTGTCACCTATGAACCACCAGTTATTGATAAGCAAATCATCAAAGATGCAATTCTTTAGAGCAGTTGAGATGGCAGTTGTTGATGGGGGCCACATTCTGCGAGCCTGGACACGAAGTTGGGATCATGTTCGGCGGAGGGTGTGTAGAAGCATTTTGTTCTTGTATTTTCGGTTTACAGGCTCGGTCTTCTGTGTTTAAGAGTGTGGGCGATGGAAGGTGGTCTTTTGCGGGTGCGGAAATTGTTGTCAATTGTTTGTAACATGTTGTTCACACATAAAATATGTTGCATTGTAGAAGAAGGGAATGTCGGCTTTTCTGTCAACGAGTGTGATGCGAGCTTTGTTATTGAAGGGCAACAGTATGTTAGCTCTTTCCCCATGCGTTGTAGCATGTTTGCCAGCCGTGAATTGTAGGAAGTGCTCACGTAATCAGCGACGTGGATTTGAGCAAAGTTTTGTGGCTCTGAGAGACATGTGGCATCATGAGGCCGATGTGTGGATTCGTAGAGTCTATGATTTGCCTGGTGTCATTCATGATCCATCATCCATTGATAAGCAATTCATCAAAGAGGCAATTCTTTAGAGCAGTTGAGATGGCAGTTGTTGATGGGGGGCACATTGTGCAAGCTTGGAGAGGAAGTCGGGATTGTGTCCGGCGCAAGATGTGTAGAAGCATCTTGTTCTTGCATTTTCGGTTTTGCCAGCCTCCAGAGGAAATATGGCACAACACATACAAAACATTGACCACAAATTAGATGACGGCATGAATACGGAAGACCAACAGGCAGAAATCAAGAAATAGCCCCAAGGGGAAAAAAAAAAAAATAAAAAAAAATCGGGTGCGAGCATTCGTCAACGCCGTGTGGGACTGTTCAGCTGATGGCAGCGACAGACAGTCATTGGCAGGCAGGTTTGCCTGAGGAGGTGCCGGTTGAGGCGGACAGGCCGACATGCAACATGCTGGATAGGAGGGAGGCGAGGTTGTGAGCACGATGGTGGACCGGATGGTCGGCAGCCAGGAAGTCAGGCCGCGAAGCACTGTGGCAGGCGGGCATATGGGGACAGGTAGACGCATACAGAAAGGCATAAGAGCAAATATAGGTGCAGATAGACAGACAAGCCAGACAGCCACAGCCATGGAATGGACGTCACATTTAAGCAGGCCGAAAGGAATGCGGGAAGATATGCAGACAACCATTTGTTTACCTCATGTATGTGTGTGTGTGCGTGTGTGTGTGTGTGTTGTCATTAGTTGCCCATCAGTCAATGATAAGCATAAAGCAGTTTGATGTTATCGGTCTCCGGCCAACATTCTGTATGTGCTATGGCATGAGGCAATTGAAGCAGCCGGGTTCAAAAAAACTGGCCAATGCATCAGAAGCTGAATTATTTTCTTCGATCTTCAATTTCTTACTTGTATCCGGTTGCCAGTGAATGGGAAGAATGACAGGCACCGATAGGCAGGGTGGCAGAGTGGCAAGCACACATCGGGAGGTAGGTTTGAGTGTATGATTTGTCTGTTGTCATTCATGACCCATCAGTTATTGATAAGCAATTCATCAAAGAGGCAATTCTTCAGAGTTGTTGAGATGACAGTTGTTGATGGGGGGCACATTGTGCAAGCTTGGAAATGAAGCCCCTATTGTGCTCGGCGAAGGGTGTGTATAAGCACCCTGTTGTCGTATTGCTTATTTTGTTGGTCTCCCGAGGAAATATGGTACAATATATACAAAAGACTACAGATCCGACGACAACATCAAAGACCATGTCATTTGGACTAGTCTTTGCCTCTCTTTCCCAGTCCCGTTGCCCCGGAGATATTAGTGGACTTTCTTATCTATCAAATAAAAAATTGGACTTAAGCATTCATCAACCACGTGTGAACTGTATGGTCAGACGTACAGATGTCGGCAGGCAGGCCAGCAGGAAGACGGGCAGACCAAGCAGTCAGTATGAGAAACCCGGGAAGACATGGAGGCAATCATGCAGCCAGCTGGTATGAGGAATGTTCTCCAGTAGGCAGGTAGCCAAGAAGGGCGGCAGCGAAGCAGGGCGGCAGGCAGTCATATGTAGACAGGCGGACAACTACATATATGTGGAATGGAAGTCACATTTGAGCAGACCGAAAGGAATGCGGGAAGACATGCAGGCAACCATTTCTTTATCTCATGTATGTGTGTGTATGTGTGTGTGTGCCTGTGTGTGTGTGTGTTGTCATTTGTTGGCCATCAGTCAATGATAAGCATAAAGCAGTTTTGATGTTGTCGATCTCCAGGGAACATTCTGTATGTGTTGTGGCATGAGGCAATTGAAGCAATCGGGTTCATAAAAATTGGCCGATGCATCATAAGCTGCATTCTTTTTTTCTAACTTCAATTTCTTACTTCTATCCGGTTGCCAGTGAATGGGAAGAATGGCAGGCACCGGTAGGCAGGGTGGCAGAGAGGCAAGCACACATCGGGAGGCAGCTTTGAGTCTATGATTTGTCTGTTGTCATTCATGACCCATCATCAACCACGTGTGACACTGTATGATCAGACGTACAGATGTCGGCAGGCAGGCCAGCAGGAAGATGGGCAAACCAAGCAGTCGGTACGAGGAACCCGAGAAGACATGAAGGCAATCATGCAGCCAGCTCATATGAGGAATGTTCTCCAGTAGGCAGGCAGGTAGGAAGTGCGGCAGCCAAGCAGGGTGGCAGGCAGTCATATGTAGACAGGCGGACAACTACATGTATGTGTGTGTGTGCGCGCGCGAGTGCGCGCACGAGAGAGAGAGAGAGAGAGAGAGAGAGAGAGAGAGAGAGAGAGAGAGAGAGAGAGAGAGAGAGAAGATGAAGTGTAGTAAGTGTCTGTGAAATCAGCAAACTGGATGTGATCAAAGCCTTATGGCACCCAAGAGATGTGTGTCATCATTGGACTACTGTATAAAATTGTAGAGTCCATGATTTGTCTATTGTTATTCAGCATGAACCAGCTATTGATGAGCAACTCATCAGAGAAGCAACAACATGCAAGACGTGAAGGCAACAGAAATCTGCTGAGCAGTTTATATGGCATCTCTTGACAGGGGATATATTCCACAAGCTCGGACATGAAGACGGCGTCATGTCTGGTGTACGGCGCCCATAAGTACTCCGCTGTCACACCTTTGATCTTTCTTGTTGCGGCTTTGCCCGTACGGTGAACCGAACCGGCAGATATGAATGTGGGTCCGTTAGACAATGTCGATTTCATGAAGCGCACGGATGACGAAACCAGTGTGTGGAGAATTTCGTGCACAAATAGGAGCAGCAAAATCGCGGTCATCCAGAAACAAACTGCCAAAGCGGAATGACGTGGTTCCAGCACAATAGGGGAGCGGGTGAGCAATGGTTTGCAGTGCCATGAGTGCTATGCATTTGCTCAATATTTGAACCGTTGACCAAAGGTCACCAGTTGGCCCATGTTGGAAAACTGTACTGTCACCCCGTACCCAAACAGTGCAGTCAATTCGACGTGTGCGAAGTCTGATGGCCACAACATGGATAGACCCAATAGTGACATTGTCGAGCTGAATGTAGTACATGATGTTTGCTAGGGTCCGTATCATATGTCGCAAAAAAAGCACGTCGTGGAAGTCACCCCATTCCAAAGTAATTGTTGGATTGGCCACACAATTGTCCCCTGACCATAAAGGAGGTGGGCAGAGTTCGATGATATAGCCTCCTGGAGTGAATAGTGGCTCAGACATAGCCGGGACATGAGTGACTGTTCTGATCGGGATGCATTCCATTTTTGCAGATCTGCATATGCACAACAACAGAAAGGAGTGTTTGTCAGGGCGGCGATTTTGTGGATTTATATAAGCAATGGCATATTTACAAATGGGATTGTGTGAATAGCAAAAACTGGGAGACAAATAAATGTGGAAATTATGAAAAAGAAGTTTGGCAAAGAAGAGGGGGAATAAGGGGAAAAGAGAGATGTGGATGC